TTTCATTCTTACAAGCCAGTCAGTGTTCTGAGGGCATCCATTCCTCATTGCTCCGATTGCATGGGAATTGCTGCCATCAGAATCTCATTTATTTATTCTAATTTCCTTCAGGCAAAAGAACAAACTCCTATCACTGTCATTTCCTATTAACCAGCTTGGATGGCAGTTCTTTCCATCCAGCTCACTATCATATTTATTGGAGAAGAACATGAGATGAATGCGGGAGGTCAGCCACACACAGCACTCCGAACTGAGTTTCAAGTTATATTAAAATCTCCTCCAGAAGCTACAGTGCATCCCAAAGAGGACCAAAAGCTTCCCTATCCTTGATCTAAACTTTTGACTGTTTGCATCTGTCCCAAGTGTACATTTTGTACATCTGGTAAGGTACAAGAGTAAGACCTAGAGCACACACAGTTTTACCTAGATTTTGAATTGTTGCATCCATTTCTTCAATAGCACCATACAATTGCCCTTGATGTACAACCAAGAATACATAGCACATCATACAGCTAAAACATGAAATGAGAAGTTACACAAAAGGTGCTGAATTGTTACTGAAGAAAACTAATGTATCTGAAATGTTTTGAGAAGAACAATACTCCCACAACACTGCTTGTTCTCAGGAAAATAAAGGCAAACACATGAAAAGTTAAGAAAGATTAAACCTCTCAGTTTGGATGTCTTACGTGAGAAATTCTAATATTAATGGCATAGGCAAAGGCTGTATTGCTTGGTTTCATGATTTTCAAAGCAGAGTCTGAATTAATTCATCTCTGATTCAGCAAGAAATGCAAAATTATTCATTAGGTGCAGAGTGAATAATTAAAAGCTATCACTAGTACAGTCAGCCGATGATAATGGAATACGTAAATCAGAAAAAATGCAGTTATCTTGGAAACATCAGTTTTCTTAAGAATAGAAGAAAGAACCAAGAGGACAGATGTGTCCTTCACAAAAAGAGCATATTAATACTCTGTGCAGTTTCTGTAAACTATACATTTTTCAAGGGTAACATTTTCTTGCTCGGAAAAAAACATACAATTACTTTATAATCAGGGTGAGTTGAAGAAGATTGTAAGATACAGTCAACTTGTTTTAGCACACAATAGTATTGTACCTCAGGAAACGCTGATTGCCCTTTAGACTGGATTTTTGCAATAAGGGAGGGGAAGACTTTGACCTTAAGCCTGAAACTTTTTCCAGACCTGAACTCATCCTTGTGATCTGAAAGCTGTTATCAGATAGGGGTTATCAAATACACTGAATGCAGTTGAAGCTCTCTATGATAATCATGTCAAACTCTTTTTGCAGTTTTTAAGAAAGACGCCTAAAGGATTCTGGAGCTACCACTTGCAGTATTATTTCCTCTCCTTTCATACATCAAACATATCTGTTTTATGCACTAAAAGGTTCCTGAGCTACAGATTTATTAACTGATATACAGTGGTGCCTCGCAGAACGGGCGCCTCGTAGAGCGATGAATTCGCTCTACGAGGCCGTTTTTGCGATCGCAAATGCGATCACAAAACGGTGCCCATATAGGCGGGAAATCGCAGAGCGAAGGTCGGTAAGCTGCTCGCTTACCGACCTTCGCTTTGCAACCCGACAATCAGCTGTCCGGCGGGTCCAAAATGGCCGCCGGAACAGCTGAAAGGGCCTGGTGCGCAGTGTTTTCACGCCCTTGGTAAGCAAGGGGAGGGCGCGAAAACGCTGCGTGCAGCCATTTCGGGGCTTCCGGCAGCGTTTTCGCGCCCTCCCCTTGCTTACCAAGGGCGTGAAAACACTGCGCACCAGGCCCTTTCAGCTGTTCCGGCGGCCATTTTGGACCCGCCGGACAGTTGATCGCAGCTATTTTCCCGCCCTCGTTCTGCGAGGGGAGGGGGCGAAAATGGCTGCCGGCATCGCTGTATGGTAAGTAAACGTGCCGATTGGAACGCATTAAACATAGTTTAATGCATTTCAATGGCCTTTTTACTTCCGTACAGCGATGTTTCACACAGCGAGGGTTAATCCGGAACGGGTTAACCTCGCTGTGCGAGGCACCACTGTAGATAGAATTCAGTAACATATTGGAATGGACAGCAATGTCAGAACACATTCCCCTTCCCCCCTGCAGCCCCCTCTTACGCGCCACAGAGCTTCAGAGGAGAAGAAAGGGAGGAGGTTGGAAGGACCACAGTCTCCCACATGAGTCTTCCCAGGCACTGAGATTGTCGAGGAAAGCCTTTCTCTTGATTCTGAATCCTCATACCTTCTAAGCCACCACCAGTACAGTTTTGAGTACCATTCATGTGAGGTGTGAGATATGGACTGAATAAATTAAAAAGCCTGCTTACAAACTCTGTGAGAATATGCCAGGCATTAACAAAACAATAAAAATAATAATAAAAAAAGAAGACAAAATTGTTATGGCACACCTAAAAGACTAACTGCTATATCTTAATGTGAGCCTTCGTGGACAAGACCACTTCTTCAGACACACTGTGTGAAAGCAAAGTGAAAGCAAAGTTTATCGTCCAGTCTCTTACCTGCTACAAAACAAACAAAAAACAAAACAAAACACTGGATCTGTATCAAAACCTCTCAAAGAGAATGGGTAAGGGATGCTTCAGCTCGATATTGCCCTTTTTTTAATGTAGCCACAATATTGCAGCATTCCCCAAAGCTGTGGTGAGAGTATAGAAGCTGGGGGAGGGGAAAACAATATGCGTTATAGTATAGTAGCGATGGCATTTACATTGCTGATGCAAATGGTACCTGAACACGAATTCCACTGCATCTTTTGTGAAATAATTTCAAATAATTTTACAGAAGTAAAGCAAAATGTTTATATCTCAATAGGTTTTATGTACTCTGGAACATAACACTCCCCAGTTATTCAATTTATCTTCATTGCACTGTAGTCTGCTTAAATATGCTTGGCCCCACAACAAAACCCAGAGGCACCTGGCGTCCAGAGGCTTCCTGGCTCAGCTGCCACACAATCACAGGTTAGGAAAGTTACTGCTGTGGGATTCTCCAGTGCTACAGGGCAAATCTGGGCTGTCTTGCACACCAAGCTCTGCACATAACCAACAAATAGATGTGTGACTATTAAGAGCAGTTGCAGCAAACTCTGGTAAACAGGATATGGTATCCTGCTCCCCGTAGGAGAAACCATGTGACGGCTCTGAAAATGAAGTTGCGTTAATGTTAGTGAGTCATGTGATCTCCCAATATCTACTATGTCTGCCATTTACCAATGTTCATGAGATACTACAGAGAGCTTCCAAAATGACTGACAACTGTTCTGAACAATACCAGGGTTAGCACAGACGTCTTCAGCATGAAGCAGCAGTATTTGTTCCCAGAGAAACTTACTTTTGCTTCCAGATCTACTGTATAATTACATACACAGTCATATTACTGTACGTTTTACAGAACATGTACAAGCCATCACTTTTTGCAGTGTCCATGCAAAGAAAACGCCTTTTGGGTCTACAATGAACTGCATAATACAATAATGATATATCCACATACAGTATGCCACACACCAACATGCAGCAATGTCATATGATTCAGAAAGCCAGTTGGTTGATAAGTCTATGCTAAAGAACATACCGTATTTTTTGCACCATAAGATGGTTGAAAAGTCTATGCTAAAGAAAATACCGTATTTTTGCACCATAAGACGCACTTTATTTCTCTCCAAAAGGGGGTGTAGAAAGTCCATGCGTCTCATGGTGCAAAGGTGGTGACTTCGCCCCCACTGGCCCCGTGGGGGGGGAGCATCGCAAGGGGCCGAGGGAGCCTTCCAGGACTCTTGCAATGCTCCCCCACCCCCCCATGGGGCCAGCGCGGGCGAAATAGCGACCTTCCAGGACCTTTGGAGAGGCTTGAAAGCCTCTGAAAAGGTCCTGGAAGGTCACTATTTTGCCCGCGCTGGCCCCATGGGGGCGCTGGCCCCGTGGGGGGAGTGTGGCAAGGGTCTGGAAGGCTCCCTTGGACCCTTGCCATGCTTCCCCCACCCCCCACGGGTCCAGGGGGGGCAAAAATGCCACCTTCTGGGGCTCTTTTGAAGCTTCCCAAGCCTTAAAAGAGCCCCAGAAGGTGGCAATTGTGGCCCCTCTGACCCCCGGGGGGGGTCAGGGTGAGTCTCTAAAGGGTCCTGGAACACACTCTAGGACCCTTTGGAGGCTCACCCTGCCCCCCCCCCGCCGGGCTAGAGGGGGCGAAACTGCCAACTTCTGGGGCTCTTCTGAAGCTTTCCAAGCCTCAAAAGAGCCCCAGAAGGTGGTGATTTTGCCCCCTCTGGCCTTCAGGGGGGGCTGGGTAAGCCTCCAAATGGTCCTAAGTTGTGTTCCATAAGACAGACCTCTCCATAAGGCTCACCAATTTTTAGGAGAAGAAAACAGATTTTTTTCCTGTTTTCTTCTCCTAAAAATTTGGTGCGTCTTATGGAGAGGTGCGTCTTATGTTCATCACGACTGGGTTGAAAGAACCAATAACTATCTGCTAGTTTCTAGACATAATGTAACTGTTTTCAACCTTCAAAGTTTACATCATCATTAAAAGATCTTGTCCTATGTTCCACTACCAATCTGAACTTAAAACTGGGGTTTCAAGAGAAGGGCTTTCTTTTTGGTGGTGGCACCCATTTTGGGGGATTCTGCCTAGGAATATTTCAAGTCTGCCTTCCTCTACCATTACAGAACTAGACATTGCCATTTTCCAGCAGAATTCCTTTGGGATGAACTGAGTGCTTAGACTTTTTTCCTTAAACAGTAGCAAAAGCCACTTTTGGGAACTATGCTGGTACTATGCCTGATGAATTATTTCATTTCATTTTAAAACCAAATTTTATTTTTTCATGTTTAGGAAGACTGATATGACTGTAAGTTATCTCACAGATGTTCTCATGGACTGAAGGATGGGGCAAATGTTTTAAAAAATAAGAAAATATCTATGCAAGGATAAATTACAAACAAAATCATATGTTTTATTTAATCTTTCTCTACCTTTGTTCATGTCCTTCTTTCCTATTCTAAAAAGTATTTTCTTTCCACCCAATAGCTTAGCAAGGTAGGATGCGTTCCACTGAAGTCCTGGCCAGTCAGAAGCCATGTTGCAGAAGATTGCAGGCGTCTTCAGAGACATCAAGATTTCTTTGGCTTCTTCTGGTGTAAAAGGTTTGATTTTGCTACCTACAACATGAAAGAGATTTTGATGAAAGGATCAATTGCATATGAATAGTTATCTGCCATCTCCTGTGGGACTGAAAACAAAAATGACTAAACTCTCTTGATTGATTCCCCACTACCAATGCACTTCAAACATTTTGTGTCATCAAATTTTTGTTGCAATTCTCCCAGGGTCATTTTTATACTAAATAGGAATTTAAAGTGGTGCTTTAACATGTAGAATATAAATATCTTGGTAAATATTTATGATTTCCTAATGTGCAGCATAGCCCGAGTGCTTTATAATTAGCCTGACATTAATCACACGTCTCCTAATTGACAAGTGTTCAAAGGACACATTTTGTGACAAATGTAATTTTACTCCAGAGGGGGAATCCCCCCCATTCAGACAAACACTTCCTTTAAACAAACAAACAAAAAAGGTAAAGAGTGTCAGAAAGTCGCCATGTGACTAATTTTATCTAATTACACTAATTTTAGCTAATAAGATAAGATAGCTTTTTAAAAAGAAAAACACTCTTTTTTAGCATAACGTTTAAAGGAAGAAGAAAAAGAGAAGAGGGCCATGCCAAGGACTATGCTAATTCCAGATTTCAGTTTAGCCCTGAGATTTATAGGCCCACTGAAACTGTCAACCTGAAATGTTGGCAGCCTTGGATAAACTGCAGGTTTACAACAGCTGCCCTTAAGGGACATGTTAATAGGAAGGAACTGGTTTTTTAATATAACAAATGTAACAGTTGCACAGAATAAAAGATAGCAGACCACATGCAGAGGATTGTAAAACAAAAACAGAAACAAAAAACACATCTCCCCAACATTGATTCATCACCTCAGCTCAAAATGTTTTACAAATAGCAATTTTTAGAATGATATGGAAACTTGTCCTGTTTTCTTCACCTTTCCTGGGTCCTTTTTAAGGAGAAAGGTGGGATAGGAACGTTTTAATTAAATAAACAATAAATAAATTCCTCCCTGCATCACTAAAAAAAAAAAGCAATGGCACCTTCAAGACTAATGATCTGCCAATCTTTAAGGTCCCCCAAATCTTTTGTCCTTATTTATTTTCCACACATAGTGAAACAGACATCTATGGCTACTACGTAAAAAAAGTGGGGGAGGGAGAGAGAGTTATTCTAGATGAAGAACCTACAGAACAATCCCCCTCCCCTTCCTATTTTAAAGGTGTTACATGGATGTAGCTTTATTCGTATAATGTTTATTTATTTTGTCAAAATACTGCAAATTCACCAGATATTTCAAGGAAAGGTAGCTCTTGCATGTGTAGTCAACAAACAACTATCAGATTTAAGGAAAGGAACGTAAGTATATATCAAAGCAAAAGAAGGAAACAGTAGGGCTGGAATCATCAGAAGACTAAGAATAGTTTAAAAACATCAAGACAGATCATTGATGGATAATCCATTGCAGACAGAATCACATGTGAGTAAGCAATCTTTCAAACAATCTTTAGTTTCTTAAACATTGACCAGAATCATGTAAAGTTTGTGCAAGACAACACTGTTAACAGTGGCTAACTGGTAAGGTGCTTGAGGGCACTTCAGCAATGTAGTCAGGCATCTAAGCAGGCATGCAACCAAGATATGCATTTCTATTAATTGCAATCAGCCACAGCAAGCTATGCAAACCTTAGGTGAACACCAAAAGGATTCTGGCCAATAAAACCAGCCCTTCAAGTTATGCTCAAACACAATCAGCTAGACAATAAAGTTTTTTCAACTGTGAAACCCAATGTGGTGTAGCAGATAGTGACAGACAAGAGACTGGGGTTGAATTCCCACTTGGTCATGGAATTCTATGGAACTGGTAAAACAAGTCCTTAAATATCTCACTTTAACTTCAAAGCCTTATTAGGGTTGATATAAGTCAATTCCGATTCAATAACACACAATTTCTAGAAATGTCTACACAGAAGTGAATGATAGTAGCCCAATGGAGTTTATACCCTGATAGGTCTTGTACAAGGTTGCAACCTATATTATTAGTAAAGACGGTGTCTTCTAGATATAAAGAAAGTCTGTAAGCATATACATATTTAAGATCAAATAAAAGTTTCTAAATAATTCATTAAAACCTATTATCATTAACATCTGTATCTTTTCAACTAGTTTAAAATGCATTATTTTGCTAATTTAATCCCAATGGCATCGTTTTTAATGACCAATATTATTAAAAATTGGCCATTTTATAAATTTGTCATTGGCCATTTCTAATTATCCGATTTCTTAAAAAATGATTGCGTTAATGAATTAACTGATTTTGTGACATTTTCTTCCTGTTTTTTTTACCATTGATAATTTATTTTCTTTGTTGATTTAAGTGAACATCTTAAGAGTTCAACCACAACACTGTCAAGCCCTGGATCAAAGATCTGGTACCAGCAGAGGTTCTTCTTTATTCACCTTTGGTGAATAGGGATATGCATGTACAGGTATGTGTGTGAAACAGTGGCCTTTTTACTCAATGGTTGTACAGGTTGTTTTTTTGTAATTTTCTTTCATGGGTATCACTTGACAGTGTGACATTTACAAGACTGAGAAGACACAAACAAGACTCAGAGCTTAGCCTTATCTCCTTCAAGGCATGAGGGAAAGAGAGAAAAGGTTTCACAGGAACTCTGTTCCTTGATATATACTATTTCATATCCTAACAAAAGGAAATCTGTGCGTTATGAACGGACAAGCAAAAAACACACACAAAGCAACACCAGGGGATGCATTCCCAGCTGTGAGGAACAACTGTAGACACCGATGAAACTAGAGGCAACTTTTTTTTAGGATAGATCAGTTGCTACTAAGCATGTATTTGTGATGATGAGACTTGGCCAGAAATTCACGGCTAGTGCTTTTTTTAAAATGTGATGACGTGGGTGGAAACAGTAGAGAACAAATTGTGAGGACTTAAAAGTCCCATATCCTTGCTCAGACACATTAGTTCCCAGTACTGTTTTATTTATTACAGTCCTAATATACTTTTTGACACACATTTGTTTTAGAGTCATAGAACATGGCAGCTGTGCTGGCCTTATTTGTCTTTCAGATTTTCCGAACATTTAGTAAACGAGAATTATTCCCAGTGAACTAGTGCTTGGCTGTCCTTTCACCCACTTTTGTTTAGAGAAAAGTCAGTAAGGTTGCGAAGTTTCATATATATTATAAACATATGCATTGATAAATTTTATTTATCTGTATGAATACAGAGAGAGCATGTTATTTTAAACCCACTGATTTGCAACATCTTTATTGGAGGAAACCATCAAAGCACAAGGGAGTAAAAGAGTTTGATTTGTGGAGAACTTTGTATCATATTAAGTGGTACAAAAAAGGCAGAAAATGGAAGAAAAAAAATAAAGTGCAAACATTAGGTCAGGAGATCGGAAAAGGGCAATTAAAGTGGATAACTTCATGTGATCAGGTTCCTTTTGTAAAGCTGGCAGTTCCTCTTTTTCTTTTGGAATAATGACAAGAGACGGACTTTCTTTAACTAAACCATTTAGATTGTGAGGAGGGGAAGGGTGAACTATAACTTCAGCGGGTCCAACTGGATTCTTGAACAACAGTAAATCGTTCCACATAACTTCTGAATCATTATTAATTACAGTCTCTTTTAATGCTGAGACATCCCAAACTTCTCCTGATCAGTTGGTCTGTGCAAAGGGGTACTCCGCACCGCGCACATGGTCCCACAACAGGGATGTCTGGCCCAATCTCCTTCTTGTGGGTTCATTCCAGTGGGGATAGGTTCTGGGCACACCACCTTCCTCCAAGGACCCTTCCCCTGAGGATACATGTATACTGTCGATTCTAGTGGATTCAGTTCCCCTAGTTGAACCTCTATTCCTGAAGGAACTGGCTCTAAAAGAGATTTATCTCCTTTTTCAAACTCCTCGCATTGCTTCTCGGTAACTCAAAGATATCACTCCCACTCTTCCATTACCAGCAGACCTTCTGCCATTGGTTGAGCTACTTCCCTCTCTCTCCTCTCTCCCCTCTCAACAGTTTGTACAGACGTTTAGTTCATGTTATCAATTCCTGTGCATAATGAACTTGCTTCTCTGTCAATCTCTTCAGCCTGAGTGGAAAGAGGGGACGGTTCACTTTCTCGTTTAATGCCTTTAAAAAGTCCTTCTTCACACTTTCATTATTTAAAACTTCCAAAATCAGAGAAGATCATACTTGTAGTTGTTATTAAGTCGTTTAGTCGTGTCCGACTCTTTGTGACTCCATGGATCAGAGTACGCCAGGCCCTCCTGTCTACCACTGCCTCCCGGACTGGGGTCAAATTCATGTTGGTAGCTTCAATGACACTGTCCAACCATCTTGTCCTCTGTCATCCCCTTCTCCTCCTGCCTTCACACTTTCATAACATCAGGGTCTTTTCCAGAGAGTCTTCTCTTCTCATGAGATGGCCAAAGTACTGGAGCCTCAGCTTCAGGATCTGTTCTTCCAGTGAGCACTCTGGGTTGATTTCCTTTAGAATGGATAGGTTTGTTCTCCTTGCAGTCCAGGGGACTCTCAAGATCCTCCTCCAGGACCACAATTCAAAAGCATCAATTATTTGGTGGTCATCTTTCTTTATGGTCCAGCTCTCACTTCCATACATCACTACAGGAAAAAGGACTTTTTTTGGCAAGGTGATGTCGAGGTTTGTCACCACTTTCCTCCCAAGAAGCAGGTGTCTTTTAATTTTGGGGTTGCTGTTGTCATCTGCAGTGATCATGGAACCCAAGAAAGTAAAATCTGTCACTACCTCCATATCTGCCCCTTCTATTTGCCAGGAGGTGATGGGATCAGTGGTCATGATCTTAGTTTTTTTGATGTTGATCAAAAAGTGCGTTTTTTGCACTCTCCTCTTTCACCCTCATTACAAGGTTCCTTAATTCCTCCTC